CTGTTTCGGAATAAGAAAACACAAGTACGCAGGTATTCATGAATAAAAGCTCCTTGCCCCTGTTCACTTTAGCCTGTGGCCAGAGAGCTTTTGAGGACACTGAGAGCATCCCCTCACCCGTAACAGCCCATTCAGAGGAAGAAAACAAGAAAGTAATGAAAGAAGAGGTGGCAGAAAGACTAGCAGAAGTAAAACCAAAACCTGCGACATCTAGATACGTAAATCTAGTACTTACTAGCTTAGAGCTGAGCCTTCTCTGAGCACATTATTTCTTTTTTTGTTTAAGCACGCTACGAATTCTCCATCCTCTGTACTTGCACAGCAAGATGTGCCCTGCTGGAAAGGCCAAACGCTGCACGCTGCTCAAAGTTATTTTTGTCACACTTAAGGCTACTCGGGAAGGTTTGTTTGAAGCGCGAGTGTTGATGTGCTGCCTTGTAACTGTATTTATTTTATTTTTAAGCAGATGGAATAGGTAATCCAAAAAGACTTTGTGATATGCAGAGTTGTGAACGCTTTGACAAGATACAGAAAATCAAAAAATCCAAGGAAAATACACCAAATACATATGAGCTCTAGTATTGTTTATAATGAATATAACCCAGTCATAGGTGATTTTTTCCTAACAGGAACAAAGATTTTTCTAAAAACAACCTCCTTCCTATGGCACCACCACGCCAGAATCAACAGCATCTCCAAAAAAAAAAAAAAAAAAAAAAAAAAAAAAAAAAAAAAAGGTGGGCAAAAGAACAGAAGCAACAATGGGAAAAGGTTGCTCTCTGGTGATATAAAGTAAACTCCTGCACTTAAAGTAACAGGATGGAAGATAAGATACAGGTACGGGACCAAAAGACTTTTTGCAAAGGTGAAGGAACACAAAACCTCTTTCTTTCAGAACAACAGCGTATTGAGTAAACAGCTGGCGAAGCTCTCGGCTGCATGGGAAAGGGCTCTCATCCGAAATATCACTGCTGGTGATCTCAAGACAGGCCCAGGGCTCACCAACACGCTGCCTTCCCAAGCAGCGGGGTGTGGGCAGGCACACCGCAGACAGCGACGCAGAGACTGAGCCCAGCACCTCAGCGGGGCAGAGGCCTACGAGGCCGCACTGCTCCCGGCTCAGCTCCCCGCTCCTCTGCCAGCACAGCCGCTGGATGCCCGCCTGTCTGTGGGCATAGGCAGTCCCCACAGCACCCCAGCTCACAAGGAAGCCCCACACCCTCGTACTTGGGGTGGCCATCAACTCAAGGGGGGAGGAGGAAGAGGACAGGGAGCTCCCGCGCCTCACGCGCCATGCCCTCACATGAGGCGTTAGCTCGCTCCTTCCACGCACTGCCCTGTCACCATTCCTCGCCACACGAATACTTAAAATGCTTTCCATGAGGTTGTTGTTACAGTCTTCGGCACATAATTTCAGACATGCCTGTCTGGTTCGTTCTGAAACTTCAGCAAAGATTTTAAGGGGTGACTGTACTTCTGCGCCTGCGGGGAGCTGAGGGGCGGACAGCAAGGGCGTATTCGGCCTCCCTGCTCATTCAGTCTTCAACCCCATCCCAGCTGTCATGTCAGGGTGTACTGGGTACGAGTTAAAGCAAGAAAAGTTAAAAAAAAAAAAAAGACAAAGGTTAGCGAGTCCCTGTAAAATACCTGTGCCACACCATGGACTGCTTGTGTTTTATTTTACGCTTAGAAGTGCTTTAAACATTGAACCATGACAGACAGCTTGGTAGTATTTAAAAGTGACGTAGCTTTTTATGTTTAGAAAGTTTATTTAATCCTTCTGTGCCTTTTTCTTTTAATAGCAAATGTTTTAAGTGTATTGTTTATGAGCTTTAGTGTTCAACATCTGAAACGCTACGCCACAGGGAACTTTCTGTAGGGAACGTGTTGAACAACAAACATGGCTTTTACCTCTCAGAAAATTTCATTTGATTCAAGTTTTACACTTTTCTATATTATCTGCATTTTTTATGGTTTCTATAGCTATGCAGAAGTCTATTATAATTTAAAATTGAGCCCTACCTAAATCGCAATTACCATACCACTGTTACAAATAGCGTTAGCTGGCCAGCTATGCAAAAATGTAAGTTATAATACTTAAATATTATGATTTTTTAAAAAAAGTTTCAGTCTCACAGTTACATAACTTTCCCTATGAACTACCACTGTAACTTATTTGTTATCTTAGATTAGCCGCTATAAATACAGGCCAAGGCCACATTTACAGACATTTGGTTAAGAACCATCTCAAATTAGATGCTATAAGAAACATATGTTTGGGTAGGACAGAGATGGATGAGGACTGCCAAGCTAGAAGAAACATCAGAAACCACGGCAGCTGCCATACAATCTAAGGTAACTGTGCCTGTCATTCCGTCACACACAACACGAGACTTGGGCCTCTAGAGCTGAGGTAACAACCAAACAAGACAAGCTCCCTCCACTAGCAAAAATCCTTCTCTGTATGACCACCAAGGAGCCTCGCCAAGTCGAACTGCGTACTCAACCAGAAACCTCATCATCGTTATTGCCTTTCTGCATTTCTCGTTCCAAGTAATTACGACGGTCTCTCAAACTATTACACGCTCGCTATGTTTTCTGAAGACCACGTCGTTCTCCAGTAAGTAACAAATAAGCGTGACGAGTATTCACTACTCGATACAGGACGGTTCCAGTGATTTCCATCATCGCCCATCCCCGTTTCGCTAACTTCTCCTATTTACGATGGGAAAAGTTATGTCACAGCAGGCCTGGTAAGAGTGTCCTCACAATACTCCGCCACACGTTTCCTTTCAGTTGATAGGAACAGTGCCATTGCACAGACAAAACAGTGCCTGGAAGAAATAAGGAGCAGGATAAAAACCAGATGGTTGAAGTTAAGTGCAGGACAACAGGAGCAACGCTTGCAGGGAGGAGAAATCATTTTGATGAGCTAAGACTGAACACGGCTCTGCACACAAAGGGAGCATAGCCTGCCACAACATCGCCCACACCACCACAAGTATCAGAAGAGCCAGAATGAAATACTGTTATCTGCATCACCTGAAGGCTGACTGCTTTGCCGCCACGCACCAGATGAACATGACACATGTTTTTTTTAATTTAACATCAGGCTAATGCAGCTTCAGCTGCCGAGATGACTACCTGTCAGCCACAATCAAGAACACCATTTTGAAAATTGGAAAGCCATCTACAACATGAGCTGAAAGCGCGATCAGGACACTCGGCCGCAGCACATCTGCACCCTCACAACTTGCTGCCAGGCTGGTCCAAGCCTTGGCAGTGACAGGCCCAAATCCTGTGTCCCAATTCCCCAGCAACCACCTCCATCCACACTGAGACGAACGGGATCAGCAGCAAGGGAACCAGAAGCACCTCAGCACACTCAGACTGTATTTAACTCTGAACAATTTGAGCTGTGTTCGGTGCAATCTTACCGAAGACAGAGTATTTTAATTCTTACTGAAATGAAGTGAAGCCCAAATAAGAACCCAGTACAAGAGCACTTCAAGCACATACTACGTATAATTCATAGATTATTTTTTTCCTGCCATAGCTACAGTTACAAAAGAAAAGTTAAAACATTTCAGTCAACACCTTTAAAACGTATCATTTAACAGCATCTACACAGCCTCCAGACGAAACTTTTAGGAAATGAAAGCGAGATCATCTTGACACTGCTTCCTAACTCACAGCAAAAACGCTGTTATACAAAGAACAGATTCGGTAAAAAAATCTGTTTCACCAGTGTGATTTTCTTTGGTTAACAGGCTGACTTGTAAAGGCAGCTTCTGCAAGGTACCTGTCTTGGGACTGCTGCCCATGCAATTTCCATAAAGGAACTTCCCAAATACAAAATTAATATTGCTTTAATACAGCATCTACTAAAAATACTCGTTAGATTTCTGAAAGCAGGGTTGGGTTGTTTTTGAACGTAGAAAATAATCAGAAAGCATTTGTCGTTCTTCTAAGACCCTGGAGGGATCCACTCTTGCTGTGCACCACGGATTCTTAATTGACCTGGAAAATACAAAGCTTCTTCGTGGAACAGCTGACACGATCCTCCATAGATGCTGAAAACTGGCAAGAGTGATACAAAAAGGACATGTCACTGCCTTCCAAGGAAGCCAACATATTAACATGACCAAAAGTAGTCCAACGATTAGGAAGAAAGACGAAAAAGAACAGCAGGAGACCTTATTTTGCCATGCAGGCAACTCTGGAGAGAAGCAGGCGGCTTCATGGGGCAAGGCTCCGGCCAAGGAAGCGACCCCTCCTTGTCTGTCAAACAGGGAACCTGGAGCCTCGGGCTCCACAGAGGGCCCATTATCTTCTTTCTTAACACCGGCTTAATTGTTCCTAAAATGCACTGTCAAGGAGGATGGCAATGAATTGGAGGGCACCCAGAAGAAAACTGATGTAAAAAATAAAAAATAAAATAAAATATGAAAGGACAAGAATGGCTGGTAGCAAACTTCAGGAGATGGTGTGTTTTCCTTAATAAGGAGAACATCGCACAGCAAACTGATGGAAGTTCCTAAGACCTGAAAACCTGACAGTTGGGAAAAGGCGCCTTAAAATGGGATTTGGGTGCTTCGGTAAGACTCCAGCCGGCAGCTGGCAGCTTTTTAGCCGCTTTCAGAGCGGGGACTGAGCAGCGGAGCCCGCAGCAGCCACCCGTGCGCTTCAGCGAGCACCGCGCCGAGCTCTGCCGGGCTCCGGCTGCCCACGAAGCCACCCGGGGGGGGCTCCCCCAGCCCGGGACCACCGCGGGCACCCCGCGGGGAGGGGGCAGCGGAGCCCCGCGGGAGCCGCTCCCCGTGCCCGGGCCGGGGGCCGCGCATTGTTCGCCGGGCACACGCGGGGCGCTGCCCCCCTCCCGCTGCCGCCTGAACTCTTGAACCCGGGGCGCAAAGCGGCCGCTGAGGCCCCGCCGCGGGCCCGCCAGGCCCCGTCCCGGCCCCCGGGGCCTTTCCTGCCGCAGCCTCCCCCCTCCTCACCTGGGCTTGAGGCTGCCGGCGCCCCGCTCGTAGGCCCAGGCGGCGCTGGGCTGCGCGGCGGCGGGGGCCAGCGGCTCGGCGAAGCCGGGGGTCGGCGCGTAGTTCCTGTCCATCAGCGGGGCAGGGCGCGGGGCCGCGATAGCAGCAGCAGGAGGAGGAGGAGGAGGAGGAGGAGGAGGAGGACCGGGGGGGGGGGCTCCGCTGGGGCCCTGCGCGCAGGGCGGCGGCGGCGGCGGGGAGCGAGCGGGGCGGCTGCGAGCGGCCCCCCCCCGCCTCATGCGGGCCCGGCCGCCGCGGCCCGGCCCCCCCCGCCCCGCTTCTCTCCGCTCCGCTCCCCTCCCGCTCAGCGGCGGGCGGCGGGCGGGCGGAGAGCCATGTCGGGCTGCTCCTTCCCAGGATGCACCTCCCCCGCCACGGCCCGCGGCGGCCGGGGGCTGGGGGGGGTTCGGGGGCGGCCGCCGCCGCCGCTGCTGGAGCCGCCGCCGCCAGGGGGAGGAAGGCAACGCCGGTTTTGGGGCTGAGCCCGGCGCTGGGGCTTTGTTGGAGGGGCCGGGGCGGGGCCATCTTGTCCCCGCCGAGCGCTGCCGAGCCCAGGCAGCGCCGGGCAGCGCCGCCGGACGGGGGCAGCGGGGCTGCTGACAAGATGGAGGGCGCCGAGGGGGGACCCGAGGGGGCTCCGGGGGCTGCCGCTGAGGGGCCGGGAGCGGCCCTGGCAGCGCGGGGGGGACGCGGGCAGCCCGGCTGTGCCGCCCCGCAGCTTGTCGTCATCCTTTTACAACGATTTATAACCGCCCGATAACGTTTTACGGGGGGTTAAATAATATAAAAACGCTTTTTTATTATTTTTTCATATACTTTTTCAACAAGCTACGGTCTTTGATGTTCTCTCCCTTCTTGCGTTCCTCAGGGCTTCTCAAGACGAGCACCGCAGGCCTGGAGGCTGAGTCGGGCTGGAGCAGAGCGGCGGGGCGCTGAGGAGAGGAGCAGGCCGGAATGACACGGAAACACGGCCATGGAAACATCTCAGGCCCACAAGGGGCAAACAGCCCTGCTTTGGGCTGCGTGGCTCCTAAAAGAGAGCATCAAGCAGGGAAAGTGGGTGCCCACCCCACAGACGTGGGTGGGAAGCGAGGGCAGCATCCGTGTGGGGCTGGGGGCATCTCGCCTTTCCCTCAGGCTGAGCACACAGGGGCTGAGGTAGGCAGGAGGAGCAGCAAGGCCCCAGGAGCGAGGATGAGGACTCCGAGCAGCGGAGAGGAAAGAAGAGAGCACCCGAAGGCGTCGGCCTTGCTCTGAAGAGGAAGGTGTATGCTAATGATTAAGTAAGTCTTTTGAAGATTCAGTTTGTAGTACTCCAGGCGATGGCAAACCGCAGGGTGAAATGAATTTTGCAGTGAAATGCTGACGTTAGAAACTTTTGCCTACGGCTAATCAAATTAGATGCCCTCCCTCCCCCCCCCCCCCCCAAAAAAAAAAAAAAAAAAGAAAGCACAATATAAATGAATATATCAACACTGGAATGAAAAAGGGGAACAATCAATGTTAAATGAGACAGTGATAAGGTAAGGGATTTTAAGAGGAAAAGCTGAGGCTCTGTTCTTGTCTTGCCCAGCTTCAAGCAAGGCCAACAATGGGAAGAAATCTCTCCTTGGAGCAGGAGGGAAAGGGGAGTGCAAGAGCCATCCGCACCTGAGAGGCTGAGCAAAGTCACTGAGAGGCCAGGGCAGAGGGAGGAGAGAGAAGAAAAGAAGCCAGCCAAAGACAGAAACCAGCAGAGTGAGTTTCCCTTGTGTTTGCATAAGTTAGCACCTGTATGGCTTGCAGCTGGAGAGTGTGCGTGCGCGGTGGGGTGCGGGGGGGCCGTTCCCCGGGAAATACAAGGGTCGCTGTTTTACATATGAACGAGGCCTGATGATAGAAAATGCCTCCAGTTTTATGCTAATACTGAAGAACTTGTGCTGCTGATGCACTGAAAGTAGCCTTGCCGTTGGCAGAAGGGCCTCCAGTTTTTTTCTTAGATTTCCCTGCAGGATATCTGCTCATCTCCATTAGAATACCGCTTCCACTTGAAGTTCATTGTTTTGCTTCAAATGCCCCTGAGGAAAGACTGATACCTGTAGGTAGGTGGAGCGCAATCCCTTTTCCACCTAGCTGTAGTGGTTGGTTGCAGCATGTTAGTGTGGAGCTATTGTACAAGTTTCTTGCCATAATTTGCGACAATATGCTAATAAATTGTAAAACTACCGGTGTTTTATTCAATATTTTTTTTCTTCAGTTAACGACAACACAAACCTTAAGGTATACTGTAACGTTGTGTGTTTTCATTCCAGGTTATTTCTCTAAAGAGAAGGTGTAGATGTTAATACTGATACGTGACAATAAGGTCTCTTTGCATAAGAAATGCCACACAAACATCCGTTGAGATTTACTGGCAGGAGAAAAGATATGCAGAAGTTATGATAGCTGTTCTTAAGCTTAGTTTCTTTTACATAGTTCTTACAGAGGTTGAGTAGACTGAGAACACCACCACTGATGTTTGTAACCACAAGGTAAAGTCATTTTATCCAGCAGTTTGCATTTCCTGTGTCTTAGAGAAAAATCGGTTCTCCTGAGCTTACCTTGTGAGACTTCTGCGGTTTTCTCATCAAGCTGATCCCTGCTGCTTGTTGCCATCCTCTGTCTTGGAAAGTTGCATTGAAGTTTGCCTGTTTTATCTTTTTGTAACAAAAAAGGTATTTAGTAACTTTATTCTCTGCAACAACAAAAGGGTCTGCTTAGAATAAGTGCTTTTACATTGTCTTTGTATCTGTGCCACATGCACAGCTTTTCTGACAGGTCTCAGAGTGCCGAAAAAATATTTGACAGATCCTGTTAGTTACGTGTGCTATCTTAATGAGTGGATTGAAGTGCATATATTAAGGTGTGTATTTAAAAGTCATACTAGACATGTTCATGATTCTAAATGTCGGTTGGAAATATTTGGATTCTTGCTTTTGTAAGGAACGCTTCCGCTTCAAAAGCAACTACTAGCAAGTTTATGGACTGACCTTCAGTGGGCTTTAACACATCCAGGACTGTAGTTCATAAATGTTGAGTGCTTGTAGCCAGTGTTGATAGTACATGCACTTCTCTCTCAAACTGAAAATTTAACTTAATAGTCGTATTTTTGTGAAAAACAATCTAATGCTTTTTTTTAAAATATATATATAAGTATATATATAAATTTTAAATTACAGTTCTGTAACACAATCTGTGCAGCATACCAGCCTGGGGCAGCGTAGGCACAGATTTCAGTACTTAAGGTGATACTTTAGTGGGGATTGTCTCCGTAATGTTCAAGGAGTGATCTTCAAAGCTGCAGCATGTGGTGCTGCCTACAGGTATGGTGTCCCAGCAGGGATGGGATGCCTTAGGTGCTTGCTGACACCCAAAGGCATCCAAAGCCTTCCCTTCCCTTCCTCCTTCCCTGTTCCACCCTCCTGCTCCCAGTGAGGCACTCTGGTCACAAGGTAAACAGTAAATTTGCTCCTCTGGCAAAAGAACATTTACTTTTTTTTTTTTTTTTTTTGCCAGGACATTTTCATGTTAATTCCACTTAGCTGAGTCAGCTTGTTTTGCTTCAAACAAGTGCTGGTTCAGGGCAAAGAGTAGTAGGTTGCAGCCAGAAGCAGGTGGGAAAGGAAGGAGATGACAAGCAAAAGCAGGAAACTTGCTTTTGATGATGAGATGTTGAGGTAGCTTGTGGCGTATTCAGTGCAGAAATCTCTAGGAGTGCTTGAGGCGCTACCTCCACAGGCAGTAACGGGTTTCTCTGCTCATACTCTGGCTTGGCCAGAATCCAGCCAGCTCTTGCAGAACTGTGTTAGCTAATATAGCAGCCCCTCCGTGAAACTTCCTTTCTTTCTTTCCTTTTTCTAATTATAAATGTTATAAATTAAATAATGTTAATACTGAATGGGATGATTCTTCCTAGGGCCCGCAGTTGCTGCCTGTGCTTTTGGCATCCTTTTCACTGCAGGTACAGCAAACCTGGCTCTGCAAGGCTTTTCCAGTGTCTCTCTGTCCCCAGATGCCACCTTCTTCCATAAAGGGCACGGCTTCTGTCCGTTGTCTTTCCATAACAGATCAGGCTTGGTTTTGGTCTTACCCAGGCTCTTCCCTCATGTTTAAGCGTGAGATAAAGAAATACAAAATTCTTGCATTAGGAATCTTCCAGTTAAACTATTGTTTCTGCAGCAAAATGCTTGGTATGCTTCAGGGCAGTGTTTGATGGGCTGCAAAGCACGGGAAAGAAGTAGAGTCAGATGGACCTGCTGACCAGCAGCTTCAGCTGCTGTTCTTTGGAGAAAGTAGTTACCAGCACAGTGTGCAGCTAACTCTGCAAGTCAGAGCTTACAGCTTGGTGGGTGAAAGTGGACAAAAGGATCATACTTCGGTTCATAATAGTACTTTATTTTGGAACTATCACAATGAATAGCTTGCTAACATACACAGACATCGTGGTGTTTAGCTTTCAGTGGCTAATGCTTCCTCCGTTTGTCAGCAAAAGCTCTAGAAACACTTAGCAGTTAGCCTTATGCTGGGAGAAGGAATCTTCAAAATTGATTGAAAATAGCGCTTCAGAGACCTGCAGACATTTTTTTTTTTTTGAAAATTAATGTTTCAGAGAGAGAAATATTCAAATAATTTGAGTGTACATGACCGGATGAAGTTTTTAAAAGTGCAGGCCAAAGCAGAGCTGGGACTGATTATCTAACAAATTTTAAAAAGGGTGCAGAATAAAATTTCTCAGCTTCTTCCGTGCTGAACAAACCAGGAATTCAGTTAGAGAATGTGGATGTAGCACCTTTGTGTGGGCTGTGTGTAAGTAAAGATGCTGCCAGGCTGTGGTTATCTTCCATAAGCAGCACTGAGTATGCAGGTGTTACGCAGTAGTAACACAAGCCTTGGTCAGGCCTGTTATTAATCACCAACTGATTGTTGGGTGGTTTTTTTTGGTTGTGATTGTGGTTCTGACCAAAGCCGAAAATTGCAATTGCTTAACAGATAAGATTTTGCATTTAATTTGGCAGTTGGCCTCTTCAAACATCAAGCTAGATGCTAAGAAAGGTATAAATAGGGAAGAAAGTGCTGCCTTCCAAAGAACATGCTTTATCTTGGAGCCTCAGGGCAAGTGTTCTTTCTTTGCATTTCCTTACATAAGCTCAGTGCCTTTATTTGATAAAAAGCTTGGGTGTAATTACAGACAAATGAATCTCAGTCTTCAGGAGCAGAACAAATGTTGATCTACTAAATCGTGGCACTTCTGATGCTACAAGAGATGAGTGAGCTGACAGAAAGCACTCTGTACCAAAGAGGGGGAAGTCCCTGTTTCCTTCACCTTCGCAACCCTCCTCCTGATCATGCGGTTCCACACCTTCTGAGGCACCACCGCTCACACTTGAGCTGATTCAACTCACCTGCTCACCAGAAAGCTGACTACATTTTTGCTGGATGAGCACATTCAGCTGATTCATGAAGGGATCTAGTAAGCACCAGTACTGGTGTAAGGCAAGTGGGAGAAATATGCAGTGATAATGTAGGAAAACAACAGAACTTAAAGCTTTTGTTCTCAGATAAGCTCATGGTTTAACAAGCAGTATTTTATTTTAACGCTTACTGGATATTATCCTTTGTATTGCATCCAAGCTGGGTATTTAACATTTAATACTGGACATGTAATATTCAATACTTATTTAGTAGTTACTGATATTTAGGGAATTTAACTGAAGCTGCTTAAACAACTTCAGTGATCTTAAGTGTTTATCATTTCCTAAACGAAGCAAGTACTGCACCAGAACTTCCAAACCTGTTCTAAGGCCTTTTCAAAACTTGTGTTGAAATGTACCAATGTCAAGACTGAAGTATTTTTCTGATCCTTTCAGGTCTTTGGCTTAATCAGAATGAAGCACCTAAACCCCATCAGCTGTTTTCCAAGTCTCAGTTTAGGTGACTGGTTATAATATTCATTGGATTTTCAAATACAAGAGACTACTACTCTGAGGAATTTTAACCAGCTAGTTCAGCTCATCTGTGTGGCAGGAGCGGGGTTCTGTGCAGGGAGATAAGGCTGATCCTACTCGCTCTTGTGGAAGTTGTCTGACCTGGTTGTGCTACGTTATCAGCTGTACCTAGCTGCCCTCAGCTGTCCTCTCTGCCTCTCTGCAGAAGTTTATTCTCACTGCGCAATGTGTGTCATCCCTTCAGGGTGAAGTCACCGTGACCGAACAAGGAAGTTCTGCTTCCTGCTTTGGTGTTGCACACCTGTTCTGATGCTCTGTCATGATCTTGCTCACTTAACTAATCCTTAGAAGATGGGAATTTTTCTGACACATCAGTGTGTTAAAGCTTCCCACCAAAGGTCTGGTGAAAGCCAAGGGAGATGGAAGGGTACACCGCCTTGTTCACTTGGCTTGTTTGTCTTGAGGGCTTTGTGTCCGGTGACTGCTGTTCACAGTTCAGAACCTTCCTTCGTATTTATATACATCAGATGCTGAAGTGAACTAGAACAGTGACATAGGAAGCTTTTGTCCAGAGTAGAAATTAACAATGTTTATAAAAAAAAGGCTTCTTCCCCTTTGACAGTTGCTATATGCCATAAAGAAGTATGCTTGCTGTTAACAGCTTCACAAAAAGAAATTCTAAATGGTTTTATCTGTTTTTCTCTTTAGTAAAACAAACAAACAAAAAAACCTTAGGCTGAATTAGACTTTGTGTGTGTTTTTTTTTGTTTGTTT